TTCGAAGCCTCGTCTAGAACTGCCAAGATATTCTTTTTTCATCTTATTTTTTAATACAATTCCAAACACAAACTTATATCCATTCAGCCAGCATTTCTACTCATAGAGTAGAGCCTAGACTACTCGACTACAACACAGCTCGACGAGTCTCTTGAAGAAAATCAAGCCTGACAGGAATATGAAGGAAGGGAAAAAATGGCGCATTTCGTCCCGATCTGCTAACCTGCGTCGCCACATCCGTATCGTACCACTAGGGCCCTGATCGGGTGGGGAGTATGTGGATACAGCTTTCACCGGACAGTGGTCAGAAGTATCCAGTGGTGCTTCCACAACCACAAAATATCGGTCTGGATCAGTTGTTAGCAGTAGGTCCAAGCAATTTGCCGTATGAGACTCAACATCTGGGATCCTTGTGGCGCCATTGACAAGCTGGGAAAGGCTTAGCGTTAACGCAAGTTTACGCGTCTCTTTCCCAGCATAGTCGGTCATCTGGTACGGGAACAACCATTCTTGATGGTGTGAATTGAAGTCCCCCAGAATGACTAGTTGCGCCACTGGGTACCTGGGTTGAGTCTCATCATACGCCGCGCTCAGATATTGGAACAGCTTGGTCGTCTCCTGATCTCCACTGTGCGAGCGGTAGACACAGCAGTGCACTATTTGAATACAGAAGCGAGATGTGGACACTCACGATATAGTTAGTTCACCTGTTGAAAGTCACTCAGTCAGCTATGGAACGAGCTATGCTCGGAGTTTTTTTGAAGGTTATCCGACAGAAAACTAAGGTCGTCGACATAGCTGGTAGAATAAGCAAGTTCAAGTGGCAGTGGGCTGGCCATATATGTCGCAGAACCGATAATAATAGTAATAATAATAATAAATTTAGGAAATGAAACTATTTTTCCGGATTTAAATCGCGTATATTTGTTTTTTCAAACAAACCGACGTTTCGGGCCCTTTACAGGTCCCATGGTCACGGTTGACTGAGGTGGTACAGTCTTCAACCAGTTATGTCTAATATTAATGCAAACCACCCTATTTTTTCACTATAGTTACAACAGTTATTAATTAAATACCTTATTTTTAATTTTACAAAGAAAACATTCCAATTTACGCTACATTAAGTTTTACAAATTATTTTATTGAATGAATTTTTATTAAGTTTAATTTATTATTAATTATTAATAGAAATTAGAATAAACTAAAACATATTAATTAGTACTGCAGTCTTATGTCTGTTTGGGATTTTTCATTAGAGGAAATACGGGATCCCAAACTGGTGGTACGGAGAAACCATCTTCCCTGTTGAAATTAGGATGTTTTTTAATTTCAATGGCCTCTCGCAGCATCCTGGGCAGATAACGGTCTTCTTTTGCAAGGACCTGGGGTTTGTCAAACTTCATTGAATGTGTAGGTTTATCCATGACATGCTCGCAGACTGCAGACTTGTTTACGCGACGCGACGTTCAGTCAACCGTGACCATGGGACCTGTAAAGGGCCCGAAACGTCGGTTTGTTTGAAAAAACAAATATACGCGATTTAAATCCGGAAAAATAGTTTCATTTCCTATGTGTAACAATCGCGAAAACCTAAGAACTCAATAATAAATTTATTCAATTTAAACATACAGCACTTAAACTAGATGACTACAATAAGGTACAATTCGATTGTATGGGCAGACAAAAGTTGAACCATCATAACCTATTCTAGGTACAAAACCTGTATTAATAGTGTTACGAAGATTCTCCGTTTTGGCAAAATCAGAAAAGAAAACAATCTTTGAACTGCGGCTAAAACTGAAATAGTGTAGTGCAGTGTCGTGAATCTAGTGTAGAGTAGCAACAGCAGTAATAAAAAGTAAGTAGAAAGTATGGGTAAGTGTGTGTGTGTGTGTGTGTGTGTGTGTGTGTGTGTGTGTGAATGTGCGTGTGTGTAAATGTGTGTGTGTGTGTGTGAAAGTGTGTGTGTTTGTGTGTGTAATAGCATTTATATAGATAGATAAATAAATAGATAAATAAAATTTAACCGATAACCGATGGGGGAAGCGAGTTCTTGAGTGGAGACCACGGCTCAGCAAACATAGTGTTGGACGCCCTCTGGCCAGATGGAGAGACGATTTGCGAAGGGCTGCTGGCAGCAGATGTCCAGCGGTGGACTACGATAGGCTGTTGATGATGATGTTGATACTTAATTTGTTTCATTACTTTTATGACTTTGAAGTGATAAAGCAATTTTGAGTTATCAACTCATTTGTAGAACAAAGACCTATGTGCAAGACTGCTTATTCTCAAGAAATTGTACATTTTGTTCATTGTTCTTCGCTGTGGATATCAGAACGACCGTTGTTAGATTATATATTTCCTAAACGAAATAAGATATGAAAATTCTGAAAACACCTATAGATAGTCCTTAGTTTGAATAACGAGATTACGTAAATAGATTTATCCTCATTTCCTTACCAGCGATAGCCTATCTAGTTTGAAATAAAGTAATTGTCGTCATTGTCAGAATCAGTAGTGTACAAACACATAATATTTATACTCTCGGACACATAATTTGAGACACCTTGAATTTTCAGTATTAAATGTCCTTAGCTTAAATAATGTTTGAATGATAACTAATAGAATTTTGAAAATGGTATGCTAAACGTCATTTTCAAAAGGTTTTGGTGAAAATTTGAATTTGCGAAACCGGGATAAAACTCTCTCTTCATTGATAAGTAATAATATTTTTTTTACTCCAGCCCTTGAAAAATAAAAATGATTTTTCATTATTTATTTTTCATACTAATTTACTACTACGCCTACTGGCAAATATAGCAGAACATAGTAAAGCACCGAAAATAACGCTGATAACGACAGATACCGCAGTGTTTGTACCGCAGGGATATCTGCGTATTTGTCAACTCTCATCCTCAATATTTTAAAACACGCGGTGAAGTCATTCAAAGGCAAACTAGAGCAAAAATTATGAATCTCTTATACCAACCTCGTTGCCATAAAGTAATTTATAAGAATAACTGCTTTAACATGTGTATAATTGTTTACAATAAATTACCAAACGAAATTAAATTGTTACAAGGACATACTTTTAAATTAAAATTGACAAAATGGCTTTTGACACATTGCTTCTATAGTAATAAAGAATACTTAGAATTTACAAATTCATTACATTAATTGGAAACTATAGAGACTAAAGAAACATTGAATCCCATTAATATTTGCACATCTGCTTGCAGGTTGAATACAATGTACCTAATTTTACTTAAGACCTTTGTAATTACTGTATTCTGGCAAATAAACGTATTCTATTCTATTCTATTCTATTCTATTTGTTAAAAAATCTGGCCTTTTATTTTATTTTTTCATTTTAAGTTTCATTTGAGAAGGTTGATTTCGAGTTGCTGTCAATTTCGTAAACTTTAGTGCAAAAAGTTCTTTTATTTATGAAAGTTTGATTTAATCAAGGTCAAACTGTTACCATTTTTAAATTTTCAGCTATTTCTACTTCATTAAAAAAATCTAAAAAAAATACTTTTGTTTAATTTCGTTTTTTTTCAATAAAGGTATATAAGTAGATATTATAAGATGTTAATTTAATCTTACGCTGAAGTAGCTGCTAGTAGGTCATCGGAGGCTTCAAGGAAATGAAGAATTGCGTGATTAGCACGGAGTCTTACCTGTCATCTTATGGTTACATAATTATTTGACAATTAAAATCACCTCGAGTTCTTAGGTTTTCGCGATTGTTACACACCGACGTTTCGGGCCCTTTACAGGTCCGAAATTTGGTTTGTTTGTTTGAAAAAACAAATATACGCGATTTAAATCCGGAAAAATAGTTTCATTTCTCAAATTAAAATCATGTTCAGTACTACAATGATTATAAACAAAAAAGGACCTAAACTTTATAGAGATATAAGTGTTCCGGGTGTAATTAAACAAAACTATTTAAAACTTTATATACTTAATATGATGTTGAATGATAACCATCTAATAACTGGTCAAGGGAAACTGTGTGAACCATAGAAATAACAATTACATACAGACAGTAATAACAATGGAGCAATTGGCTAATTGATCATTATAAAAAAGTATTGTTAACATTATTCATCCTTAATTTTGATTGCATTATTTATTTAAAAACTCCCTCCTTCCCCCACCCTCCCCCTGTTTTTAACTAATTCATGGTCTTTGAATATTATTTGTTTTTTTCTATTCTTTTTTGTTATTATTAATTTAGTTTTCCGTGCTTTATCTATAGATACAGATTTATTTATAGATACAGAAAAATATAATCTACATCCTATCCAATTGGAGAGGATGTAGGTTATATTTGTCTGTATCTAATCGAGCAATAGACATGTCAGACGTAATTTCACTTATGCCATTCTTCCGTGAGGGGCGAGAAATGTGAGTAAAAATTATGATTTTCTGTTTAATATACTTTGAGAAGTCAAAAATAATAACAATCATACCGATCCTAGAATTCACTCTTGGGCTCTAACCAAAACATCCAAACTGAACCAATTTAGAAAAGTTAAATATTTGTCCTCATCTAAAGCCCATTCCCCGTTCGGCCACCAAAGTTGCCAAATGTATTCGAATTGACATTTCAATCTGAACTTCAGACTGGGTTTCAAGTTACTTAATTAGTAGCGGAACTAAGTTCCATGAGTTTTAATCTTTAATCTTTAATTAGTCACTGTGTTTTTAGTTGTGTAAAGTAAACAGTAACGTATGACGAGTAAGTAATTAAACAAAGAATGAGGACATTTTGTCCTAAAACGCTAAAACTAGACTAGTCATGAGAAGATGCACGGGGACAATATACATAGATTTGTAGGTTGCTAAATTTCATAACCGAACTAGATTTACATTCGCCACTAAGAAATTCCATGCATTTAGGATATAAGCTTAAAAAATAAGTACCATATTATTACTGTTGCAAAAACAAGATTGTGTTTATTTATTACCAGTGTTGTTTCAGTGACGAAGCCAGCTACAATGGCTGAAACTATGGACCCGCTGGCTCCGAGTGTCAACTCGTCTTCCCGACCCTCGGGTCTGATGAATAAGCTGCGATTGAGGTTCGGCAGATTGCCGGCTGGGAGAGCTCCAGGAGAAGGTAATAATCTTAATGCATTTATAAGCTTAAGCAGATAATTCTAAAATGGAAGTTTACACCTATAATCCGGTATGTAATCCCTTAAAAACATACATCTTTTCAGAAAAATCAGTTTTCATCCGTGAATTCGCTTCCATCTCCCATCTTTTTTTTAACGACTCCAATAATATCTTTTGCCATTTTGTTTTGTGTTGCCATTTTGTTTTTTATTGATTACACCCAAATCGAATCGGTAAGGTTACTTATTTATTTAAATCTGATAGTTATTACAAGTAGTAATAAGTTTTAAAACGAAATAATTGATTATTTAGCTTTTGTTAACACAATTTTTTTTTCATGTAATACAAATGCGCCTGATGGTAAGCGACGACGCGCCGATCCATAACAGTTACAGTGCCACTCAGAGCTTTAAATTGCAAAGGTCTGAGGGGCACTACCATTGCGCCCGTCACCCTAAGACATAAGTTGACAAGTCCCATGCACCTGTAATTTCACCAAGACCCTTCAAAACCGGAACACAGTAATGCTGACATTACTGCTTGCCGGCAAAAATAGATAATTCAGATGATTAATTAAAAGAAACCAGTGACCAGTCTTCCGCTTTGCTGGCCATTTTCCCACTATAGATGACATACGGAACTACTCTCGAAGTCCGTCAACGAAAAGACGGGCCCATTCGAAACTGTCAAATCGCATTGTCATACATTCTTACTTCTAGTCCCTACCGAAACTCAAGTCTGTAAGTAATCCAAAAAACGGCCGTAACTACTTCGTGCTTAGAGAAGGCCCCTGGTAACCCCTCTTTCTATTTTCAAATGTTCTTTAGGCGTGGAGTCGTCGATCAGTACACATGAATAAAAATGGATGTAAATTACTTTGTTACTCCGCGAACCCAGCCAAGGTTGAATCGTGCAAATCCGCATAGAATTAATAACCCAAACGCAACTAGGTACAGCAAAAAACTAGCTCCAAAAATATACCTGACACGTGTTTTGTTTCTCTACGAGGCATACTCAGGAATTAGGTATAGATTGTTCGAATTTCAGCCGAAAAACATTTCGAAATTGACCGGGAACTTTACCTGCATGAAAAAATATTGAAAACAATTAAATGACCTGCAACTATCTTTAATAAACCCGTCATTGCTCAATTAACACTCAGTCAAACCGTGATATCCCTCTATTGTTGCTATTCACCCGGCCAAGGTCGCTATGAACAAAAAAACAATTGATAATACTGGATATTGGACTTTAAAATAATGAATTGTTTATCAGTTTACATTTAAACTGCAACTATAATGCAGGTGCAGTTAGTGAAGAAGTGTTTATAGAATTTAAAAAGGTTTTCGCTGACCAGTATTGGAATGGTAGCTGCTGCTTGAATCTGAAATTCAAGATCTTAGTGGTTCAGCGTCTAGCTCTGTGGACGCTAGTTGATAAGATCCCATTGGGACGTATTTCGGAAATCAGCTATTGTAATTTGTTTCTGATCTGGGTGTTCTGAATATTGCCCCAGAGTTAATTTTGCTCTGGTATACTTGTAATACAGGAAATTCCTTCCTTTGAGATCAGATAATCGTCATTATAGCCTGGTATACTATTGTTCCGTTTGGAAGATTGGAATCATGGTGAGAGTTGTAGAAAAAGTTGAAAGTGGTAAGAGATTTTTATTTCCTTCATGGTGTTTCAAAGTGGGAAGATGTTTTAATAACCAATAAGATTTTTTGTTTGTTTTGACATCTCCACTCTATTTGCTGAAAATATGAAATCCTGTTTGGAAATGAAACTATGTTTTCGGATCCAAATCTTACTTGCTTGTTTTTTCAAACAGACCAACGTTTCATTCAACGGATCATTATTTTCTATGTATAACGAAAGCGAAAACCTAACGAGTCGATATCCTATTGGTTATTATTGACTACTCTTCGTTAGTGATTAGGCCAACATGTGAAAACTATTTGTATTCATAAGAAATTAAAGCTCACAATTCTACAGTCATTTGGAAGCAATGCCTATTGGAATTTAAATATATACAATATTGCGCAATGATTCATTGAAAACGAAATATTTAATGATAATTTACATTGTTTGTTGTGGAATTTGTTTTCAACGATCCCGGTGGCACTGTTGTTAGCAATGGGGTTCTGTAGAGATTTCCAAATTAGGACCAATTGTGTTGATACAAAGATCGAACAGCATAAAGAAAAATTCCTTCGATCTGACTGGACTCGGACCAGCGTCTGTTGCAACACAACACATCGAAGGAATTTTTCTTTTTCCAGGCTTTCTGCATTCTCATTTCTCTTAACGGTGGCGGTTCGACGAGACGGGAGACCAAACCCGTTACTTGACGTTAGACTTTTGTATGTGTTTAGTTCGCAAGCCGAACCGACATAGACGACTGCGACGCGATGCAAAAGACAGTGTGATAGTCTTTGTCGCGGACCTGGTGTCGCGAGTCTCGTTCGAAAAGCTGGTGGGTTATAGTGAAAGATGACGTCGTTTTTTGATGAAGCAACTTTGTCTCGATCTCCTGTCTCTGTCTCAACTCGAACCGCCACCTTTAGGCTAGGCTTGACTGCAGCAAAGCATCGATCGAATTTCTGAACCAATATATTAGCCCTTACTGACAAAGCTCTCCGCTCCCTCCTCATATCGTCTCTGAAATGTCCTAGATACTATTTAAAGTAACCGGTGGTATGTCTACAGGATATTTACTGTGGATTTGAATTGGACATTGGGGCAGGCAGAGATTACAGCTCGTCATTTTGCACGATGCAGTTTAACCATGCTTCACTTACACTCATCAATCTTTTGAAGAACATTCTCGATTTGACCTGAAAGCGTTTTCCGCGGCCGTCGACTTCCAATGTTGCCTGCCACATTGGCTCTATAGAGCCTCTTTTTTTCATCACTATTCTATTCATGATTTGAACAATTTAATAATAAAACAAATATTTATTTCAGGATATGTGGAATTCGGAGAGTTCCGCGCAGAACGAACTGCTATCAAGAAAGTGGGCACCTTCGCTGGTGTCTTCTGTCCCGTCGTGCTGTCCATGTTCAGTGCTCTCATTTTTATTCGAATGGGTAAGTTATAGTTAAGGTAGATTAATGAAACAATTTTAAATAAACCAACTCTAAAACTGCCCTTACAGCATATTACGCATTCTTTCACTCAAAATTCTCTGGAATGGAATATGGAGAAATTGTACCACCATACAGGATATCTTATCTCAATTCAATTCAATAATTTATTGCAAAACCATAATGTACATAATAAGATGTTACAAATGTAGTGAGACCAGTATTATGGGCCCTGTCGGGCACGCAACATAGGAGCTAGGAGAGAGGAAGCGCAATTTTATAGTAGTGTTTTATATACAGTAAGTATTCTAATCTTATTTATCATAGGTACTATATACTATATTATATTGTTACAAAATTTAATTTAAAAACAACCTTAATATTTATCATCATTTTGCGTGGCCAATGAATGTATTATCTATTAAATATTCGTTAATAGTGTAATAACATTTTTCGGATAGGAATAGTTTTAATTTTTTTATGAAAATGTTGTCATTGTTTTCATTTTTTATATTTTCAGGTAGTTTATTATAAATTTTAATAGAAGAACTGTAGGTACTAGAGGAGTTAATTTTTAATCGTGAAGTCGGCAATACTAATTTATTTTTAAGTCGTAAAGAGTACTTACATGGGATATCTTCACGTTTTTTATAAAATTGTTTATTTTCCTGACAAATTTACTTATTTCCAAAATATATAAACTGGACAGGGTTAATATTTTATATTTAAGAAAATATGGTCTACAGCTATCAGTCTGGTCAATATTGTCTATTGGCCAATATTAAAGTATAAACCAATGCTTGAAACCGGCCGTCTACGAACTAAACTATAGGAACCTATCCTAACGACGCATAGCTGAGATATCATTAAACGATTTCATTATTCTAAAACTGGGTTATGGTTTTTTTACGATATCTCAAAAAAAAAATATTTTGTCACTTAATCCCGTTTTAGTCAGCAGACGGCAGAAATGCAAAAGACACTCTTAATATATTGTATTAAGAGTCATCAATTTAAGCATTGGTTTAAGACGTATTTAAGTTTAGTCCAAAAATATAATAAACTCAATGTTTAATTTAATTTCTTGTTGCTACTTAGGCGAAGTTCGTTTTGTAAATACGAAAACTTACTTCGTCATTTTTGCGCAGCTGACGTCAAAGTTTGTTTTATAAATCCATACTAAGTATAAAGTTACTTTTCGTGGTGCCAGCTGCGGTAACAAAAGGGTCACGCGTTTGCGCGCTACATCCGATTCGTATTCCTTCCGAATCAGAGACAATACAAATCTAGAAAACTCGGATGTCGTTTGTGCATTAAGTCCAATTCGAATCCGAGAAAATACAAATATCGCTTGTACACTTATAAATAAAATGATCCCTCTGACATTTCGGACCGTCATTTCTGCCTCAGTATCAAAGTCAAATAATCATTTATTCCATACATCGAGTATATAACCAGAAATAAAGACGAAATAAGGGCCATATATTCCTGGTAACAACTCAATAAATAACGAATATATGTATTCCAAAAAATATTCTGTATTTATTGTAATAAGATAATATGTCTAACAATGCCGTGCTGTTCTATTCGGTGGTATGGAAAAAACAGCAAAACATCTAATTACAAAACAAACGGTACCACATTTCATCGGTAATTAAATATTAAATATGTAATTTTGCCATTTTCGTTCATCGTAGCAAAGCTCAAGTTAATTGGACTTTTGAAGTGAAACAATTGACGACACCCGTCAATTGTTTCGTACTCGGGCTAGCCAATCGGAGCGCAGTTGTCACAGTAATGATATGGCAGAATAGTTTTCAAACAAATTAAATGACATTTCATCTCTATTTCTGGTTATATACTCGATGATTCCATAGGTGAAGTTTTTACACTTGAAAACGTAATTTTCTTAAGCTACTTTTTAAGCATCTATACTCGATGTTTTTAAGGTACTGCTCGTTCACTACGCTGACCTCCCTGAGAAGAACGAGCAAGAAACTCTAGGGATCGCTCTTTTCAAATAAACTTAAATGCTATGGAATACACTTTGAATCATAATTGTGTGGAATCTAGACTCTTGTTGTCTTTCCATACTTCTTTATCTAAAACATACTCTTCAATTTTAAATATGATATTTGTTGATGTGATGGTATTTGTTTGAAAACGCAGTGCGTTCCATAGTATCTCATCTTTTTATTCAAGGTAATTATTTCCATTCTCATGACTGTCCTGCAAGTTAGAAAGCGTGCTATGATCAAAACCGACATTGCACAAGATGCAATTCATACTGGCCTTCAAATCGTCTATTTACCAACGCCGTTCCACGAGTAATCAATTCTGTGTAAAGTGTTTTTTATTTACTGTTTATGTGCACCGTCATTTTTCTTCGATAGTCCTTAAGTTATTGTTTATGGTGTTAGTAATATAGTCCTCCGGAGTGGTTAGTACTTTACAAACAACCCTGCATATAAAATAGGTCAAATTATGTCACTGATATCTCTATAATTACGTTTTTATTGTTGTGATTGCCGTGCATGAGCACTGAGCGGGCGAGAGCGGGGTGAAGTTAAAGGAAGGGGAGGATTGCGGTGCACAAATACGTTCATGACTTTGTGTAAATATTATCGTCAGTTCGCCATTTTTAACCGACTTCAAAAAAAGGGAGGAGGTTCTCATTTCCACTGCTTTTTTTGTGAACCGATTTTGATGATTCTGTTTTTTGTTGGAAAGAGGGTATCTCAGTATTGATCCCATTTAAATTTAAAGAAAATATTCCATCTCTAAGTGTGTCAAACTAGGGAATAAAATCGGTTTCGCGCACTTTCCGGTAACCGATTTCAATAAAACTTCTCAAATAAATGTAATTCTACAAACATTTGAGGTCGGTTTTTTAATATTCTGTACTGAGATTATGCGCCAACAATTTCTAATTCATTCGTGAAATCCATTGACTTACAATTATATGGACGTCGGGTCCGCGCTAAAAAGTGTCCGCACTTGTAAGGCGCTAAAATCGTATACAGAGCGCCAAACTCCGCTTTAGTCTTCATTTGTTCTACTGACAGCGCGATACTGCGATGACATTACAATTTAAATTTCGAATAGGTTGACTTGGGACATTTTTTTCGTGGTTTTTGTATTAGACCCGTCTCGTCCATTTATTTGTAAGTCAATGGTGAAATCACAGGTTTTATAGAAATGAACAATTATATATTATACATAATGATTAGGTTATTATATAGTTTCAATCATTAAACAATCATTGTGAATCATCAATCATTAGGCATATAAATATGTAGGAATTGAAACTTTTTTCGCGTATATTTGTTTTTTTTTCACACAAACCAACGTTTCGGGTCCTTTACAGGTCCCATCGTCACTGTTGACTGAGATGGTATAGTCACTGGTTATAATTGGTTGATGAATCCGGAAAAATAGTTTCATTTCCTACGTGTAACAATCGCGAAAACCTAAGAACTCGATGCATATAAATATATTCAAATCTTGTTGTCCACATGCACTAAATAATAAGAAAATAAAACTAAGTGTAACATGTTTTAAAAATTGTATGCTATACATAAATAAACAAATTATGCAATAAGTAACAATTAAAATTTATATTAAATATATTACATACATTCTTCTTATTGATTTGAATAATTTTCTGTGTGTCAATAATATGCTTATCCTGTTGGCGAATAACCGAACAATAAACTCGAAATTACTGTGTAAATATACCTAATACAATCGAGCGGTTATCGTGTTACGGGACTGTTATTGGTCATGCGTCATTTATCATGTTTATTATGTCACTCAACTGAATAATAAGTACGATTCATAATGTAAATTGACACGTGTGGAATGTATGTGTTGACTCGTATAAGTAGAAAGTTTGTAAGGTAGAAAAAGATAACTATTTCTATAATGTAGAAATATACAGATGTTTGTACTGAGGTAGAAATAGACAGATGTTTGTACTGAGGTACAAATAGACAAGTGTTTCTACTGTTTATTTTTTTATTTATGATAAGATTCTTGTGGCCTTTTAAGTCAAACCAAACGTCCAGCAAGTTAAATTAAGTTCGATATAATAATGACATCTTAAATATAACAGTAGAGTTAGATATACTTGAAGTCTTGCACATTCACATACCCACCCAAGTATAAATATACAATTCACACTTCTCTTTTACCTAACAACACATATGAATGTTTATATTCATAAATTCTTCTGAATTGTAACTTAATTTTTATCCTCTCTTACTAAAAAACTGTAGTAAAGTGTAAAATATTGTTATACCTTTTTCAGCCACCAGTCTCTCAGTAATAAGGTTTAATATTAGAACTCTCTAGTCATTAAGCATTTATCAAGTTTACCTTGTATGTGGAGAGAAAATAAATAATAATTGTTATAGACAGGTGTTTCTACTGAGGTAGAATCAGACAGGTGTTTCTGCTAAGGTAGAAATAGACAAGTGTGTTTATTAAAGTGGAAATGTTTAGATTTTTCTACTATGGCAAAATAAAAGGTAATCTGCGAAGGTGACGTTATTGTCTTTGTGATACAAACATTTCTATTTCTTTTTCCAGGTTACCTAGTGGGCAATGCAGGTCTATTAGTGACTCTAGCACAATTCGGAATGGCCTATTTAATAGTGCTCTTTACTGTGATGTCAATTTGTGCTATCTCCACCAATGGTGCTGTTGAAGGCGGAGGAGTTTACTGTATCCTTTTATTAATAATAATTAAAAGGTGCGTTGTTATATGCGCCTAGAGGTTTAATCTAAGAATAATAGTGAAAGATGATATAATAGAAGAGAAAATGGAATGATTCGATGATATGGCATGTGAAACGGTTTGTTTTATTCCAGAGGAAAAAGAGAAATTACATGGCATGCACTGCCATTTTTATAGCAAAACTAAGGTTCGTATTCTAGAACTCTACTCAATGCTCAGAATTGCACTGGAAACATAAACACTGGAAATACGACCCTAATGGCAGAGACTTGAGTATGATTTCGAGTGCTAAACCATACTCAAATCCTGACTTGAGCATTGAGTGCAGTTCTAGAATACGACTCTAAGGTGCTTCTAGACAAAATCGCTAGAGTAATGTCAATACGATATGGCATGCTGTACTGTTAGTAGTACACACATGACCCGCTAAATGTCGCCACTAACAATGACTAATGACATAAAACTTTATTTTAAAAGACAGGAAATGCAACAAGTAGTATGAGATTGGAAAAAATCGCTTTCGTTCTGAATGAATGAATGAAATATTCTCTATATCACGAAATAAGCTAATATACAACAGGCGGGCTTATTGCTAAGTAGCTATTTCTTACGTAATGCTTAAACTAACTGACATTCCGTACGTTAACGATCCCAATAAATTGTATAATTCAGTTTTCAACATAGTGAAAAGTGAACGTGATAATGTTTTTAAGTCCAAAATCATAACTATTAATAATTCATTGAAATTTAGTGAATGGGCGACTGTGGGAATTCACAAAAGTAGACAAAGGCTGTATGATCTTTACGATGAAAGAACTTATAACACTAGTAACAGTTTTAATGATTTTGTTAGGAAATATTCGAAAATGTTTAAACGTGTTTGTGTGGCAGCCAAAGCAATGTTTATTAATAATAAAATAAAAAGCAGCGCGAATGTAGTAAAAACGACTTGGAATATTATAAATAGCGAAACTGGAAGGGTCAAACCTCGTAACTTAGATTTTCAACTAAGATTTAATGACAAAATTGTAAACACAGACGCAGAAGTTGCTAAAATATTTGAAAATTTTTTTACCAACATTCCAATTTTGACTACTAATTCGTTAAATTCATCTCCCACGGCCGCTGAATCCTTACTAAAAGAAAATAATGCAGTTAGTATCACTAATTTAAGGTTCCGTCATGTATTTCCAAACGATATTGTTAAAGCCTTTAAGTCTATAAACATAAAAAATACTGCTGATCTTGATGGTCTTTCAGTCAGAGTAATTAGTTCTATAGTTGATTGTATTGCACCTTATTTAGCCTGTGTCTTTAATAAATGTGTTGATGATGGTGTCTTTCCTGACCTCATGAAGCAAAGTAAAGTTATTCCACTTTTCAAATCTGGTAGTATTTCTGACCCCACCAATTTCAGACCTATATCAATACTACCAACTCTCAGTAAAATATTTGAAAAAATTATTCTAAATCAGATGTGTGCACATTTTTATAGTAATAATTTAATGTCTCCTAAACAATTTGGTTTCACTCGGGGTCGCTCTACAACCGACGCTGGTGTAGAGTTGATTAATCATATATTTGATGCATGGGAAGTCTCACATGATGCTATTAGTGTATTCTGTGACCTTTCCAAGGCTTTTGATTGTGTGCACCATGATACACTGGTCAGGAAACTTCGCCATTATGGTGTGGCGGGACGTGATCTCGACCTTCTTAAATCGTATTTGCGTGGTAGGGTACAGAGGGTCGATGTTAACGGTACGAGATCGTCAGGGTCTGTAATTAGCATGGGTGTCCCTCAAGGTTCAATTCTAGGCCCATTTTTGTTTTTAGTTTATATTAATGATTTACCTAGCCTTATGGAGGGTATAAAACATGAGATAGTATTGTTTGCTGATGATACTTCCTTATTATTTAAAGTTAAAAGGCACCAATGTTCCTATGACGATGTGAACAATGCTATATCTAAAGTAGTTGATTGGTTTGCTGTTAATAACCTACTTCTTAATGAGAAAAAAACAAATTGTGTGAAATTTACATTACCCAATGTTAGAGAGACGGTTACAAACATTGTAGTTAGAAACGAAAAATTGAATCTTGTGGATACAGTTGTATTTCTAGGTATAACGTTAGATGCTAAATTGCAATGGGGTCCCCATATAAGTAAGTTGTCAAAACGGCTCAGCTCTGCAGTGTACGCGATTAAAAAAATAAGGAAACTTTCA